CCCATCCTTTGCTGTTGCAACAGGGGTTATGATAAAAAAAAGTCCTTGTAGACATGTCCTCAGCACGTGTGGAAGAGCCCTGCCAGTGGAATTGTGAGACCCAGAGCCCCTGCATCTGCCATATTGACGATAAGGAAGAGGTTTCCTTTTTTATTATGTTATGTTACTCACCATTCATTACACCATTAGTTTTTGATGTAGCGTTCCGTGATTCATTGTTTGTGCATCACACCCAGTGCTCCGTGCAGAACGTGCCTTCCCCAATATCCATCACCAGGCTACACCATCCTCTCACCTCGCTCTCCTCTAGAACCCTCAGTTTGTTTTTCAGAGTCCATAGTCTCTCATGGTTCATCTCCCCCTCCCATTTCCCCACCTTCATTCTTCCCCTCCTGCTATCTTCTTTTTTTTTTTAACATATAATGTATTATTTCTTTCAGACGTACAGATCTGTGATGCAACAGTCTTACACAATTCACAGCGCTCACCATAGCACATACCCTCCCCAATGCCTTATCACCCAGCCACCCCATCCCTCCCACCCCCCACCACTCCAGCAACCCTGAGTTTGTTTCCTGAGATTAAGAATTCTTCGTATCAGTGAGGTCATACGATACATGTCTTTCTCTGATTGACTGATTTCGCTCAGCATAACACCCTCCAGTTCCATCCATGTCTGATAACGATGATTTTATGGTCGTCATGACAGTGTCCTCGGTACGGTTTGAGGATGTGCAAGGCTGGGTGATGGTGATATGAAACAAAGGCCTTTTGTAGCTGTTCCCTGATTTGGTCCCTCACCTGCTCTGTTAGGGGGCAAGAACAGGTGTATGTAACTACGCTCATTGACGGGAAAGGCGACGGGTCTGGTTAGTGGCAGAACCAGGACAATAGGACTGCAGCTCCTGCAAGTCCGGGTTCCTTCCCTGTTCTCTACACAGGGCCTTGTGCTTGTTCAGGGGAATCTTTGCGGTCTGTCGATTCACGGTGTGTGTGTACCTCAGGCCCCACGTCTGTGTCCCGTGTCATAAGTCATAAAGGCACAGCCACGGCGCTTACTAGGGCAGGTCCTGCTGGGAGAGTCTCCCGTGTATGTATTTCCTCAGGAATCCTCACAACCCCGTGAGGTGCTATCACTTTCTCTACTGTGCAGACGAGGAACGCTTGGCCCGGGGAGGTGAGTGACTTCCAGCGCCTCACAGCAGACACGTGGTGGAGCTGGGATCGGAAGCCCATTCCCCGGCTCCAGAGTGCCGGCCCTTTCCCCCCACCGTGCTCTCCTCTCACAGAAAAAGTAGTAGTACCACAAGCTGGTGCTCGCCCTCACAGTGTGGGGTGCTTTGTGATATTTGCTCTTGTATCCTATTTGATCCCCTAAATGCTGGTTCCCCCCCCGCCCCCCCCCCACAGTGGTTTCCTGACCCTCCCTAATCTGTCTCAGTCTGGGTTTTGGAAAAGTCTGTTAGGTTCTACTTCCCCAGCACCTCTCAGTGCGTCCCCACCTCTCAGTGTCCATCCCCGTGGCGGCTGCCCCAGTTCAGGCTCCCCATGACTTCTTCCCTGGACCTTCTTCCTGGATGGCTGTGAGATCCTCCTAACTTTTGTCCTCCGTCCGTTCTCCATGCGGAGACCAAAGTCACCTAAAAAATACATTTCTGACCATAGTGTTCGTAATTTAAGGCGCTAAGTCCACCTTTGCTGTTTGGGGCCTAGTGTTCAGTCCATGAAGATGGTCGGTCAATGTATGAGGGAATGCAGAATTAGAAAACGTACTGTGTATTTGTCCTCAGGATGAAGATCTTCTCCCAGGTAAGTATTCTGAGGTCGACTTTCCAATGATAGTCACGAGAAAGCCGCACAGCACCACCGAACCTCACTGTGGGGTTGCTCACAAGGTCCTCGATCTTGGGACGAGCACGTGGCCCTGCAATGCTCTATGAATGGAGAACACACAGGATGGACGTGCCATGCACACACGTGCTTTGGTCAGACTGAACTCCCCTTTTGACCCCACTATTGGGGAAAAAAAGAAGCAAAAGCTGTGGAAAACTCACACTTTCATATGTCTGCCAGCCTAAAGAGTAGGTCCAGTACAGCCACCTGCCCCAAAGACGTTGAAAGATGTGCCCCAGATAACGGGGCACATGACAGTCACCTGCAGGAGCTCTCAGAACCACCCGTCGTTCCTGTTGCAGCAGCCTGATGGTCTACCAATTCCGGTCTGTTCTGTCATTTCATAATCGATCATGTTTCCTGTCAAGCATTAAAGCAGCCCCAAAGAAACCTGGAGAAGAATCGGCTCCCAAATCCAAAGGGAGAAAGGCTTTTTCAAAAGCTATTCAAAATTAAACTAAAAGTCGTCCCAAGGCGTTTCCACAATTCTTTCCTCGCAGTTCCCAATTTCTCAATGTCAAGGTCTTGGGCAGTCCGGTCCACAGGGGCCCGGCTTTGGAGACAGCGGCACCTCTACAGTGCCTGGATGGACGCCCGAACCTCGTAGGCGGATCCGATGGGCTCTGATGGCCCCTTACTTATTTAGTGCCATGAGGCACTGGGAGGTGGAGGGTCTGCAGCGGCGGGGCGACCCGGAAAGCCTGAGGCCATCGCCCGCAGAGCACAGCGTCCGCTCGGCCTGGGGCTCACTGGTTCCCGGAGTTTTCAGCCAGGGCAAAGCCCGGGGGAGGGCAGGGGAAGGCTCGGGTCCAGTGCGCCGAGGGCGATGCTGGGTGGGGCCTGGACAGAGGGCGACGGGGACAGCCGACCCACCCAGCTGCTCCCCAGGGGCTCGGGCAGCGGCACCGAGCCGGGCTCCAGGTCTTGGCGTGGCGCAGCCCCAGGCCCAGACCCCGAGGCCTGATGTGGGGCGGCGGCAAGGGACAGAGCGCGCGACCAGGAGAGCAGCCGGCCCTCCCGCGCCCGAGCCTGGTCTGGGCTCCTGCCGATCCGGATCGACGCGCTCGCCTGCCCACGGTCTGGTTGGTCAGCTGCTTCATGCAGCTGGATTGCTTCTTGCTGGCGGCGGCGGCGGGGGCCGGCACGGCCAGGGCCGGGCAGCTCGAGGAATCGCCCGGGGGGAGGGGGGCCGACGTCGCTTCATGTCCACCCGAGGCGGCAGTGGAAGCGGCTGTGGGCCCGGCGCCCCCCCCTCGCCGCCTCTCATCCAGTGGCGCGGCAGGTCGGGGCCTTGGGAGGCCAGACCCGGGACGCGGTACCCAGCCCGTCCTCCACCCAGGGCGGGAACCCCGGGGCCGCCCTGTGCAGGGCCCGGAGGCCCCCTCTCGGGCACCGCCACCGCCGCCCGCGACCCCCTGCCGGGTCCAGCCGCACACCTCCGCGAGGCAGCGGATGCGCGCAGCGCACGGAGCCACCGGTGAACCGCCAAACCCCGGTGTGGGACGCACTGTCCCCGCAGAGCTGGCAGGGCACGGAAGGACGGAACACTCTGGAGCCTCTGGAGGCTGGAAATGCCCAAAGTCTCCTTGAGGGCCGTGCCTCTGCGCAGGTGTAGATATTTGTCAAATGCACCTAGGATCTGCTCTCCTAGGTGAATGGATGCATTGCATGCATTGCATGCATTTCCTGGGGGAAAGTCCAGGGCCAGATGCATTTTCTGTGGGCGGGCACCTGGGGGCAGTCAGGCAGGAGCACTCGCTAGGGGCCCACCCAGGACAGCCAGGAAGCGGGGAACAGGGGAAGGGGCCCAGCCCTGCGTGGGAAGTCGTGGGGCTGAGCGGCTGGGACCGGGACCGGTGGCCAGAGTCGGCCTTGGGAAATGTCTTATCAGATGAATGGATAAAGAAGATATGGTATATATATATGTGTGTGTGTATGTGTATATATATATATACACATATATATATGTGTGTATGTGTGTATATATATACACACATACACACAATGGACTATTACCCAGCCATCAGACAAGATGAATACTTACCATTTACATGCACACGGATGGAACTGGAGGGTATTATGCTGAGCGAAATAAGTCAATCCGAGAAAGTCAAATATCAAATGGTTTCACTCATATGTGCAATATAAGAAACAGGGCAGAGGACTGTAGGGGAAGGGAAGGAAAACAGAATGGGAAGTCATCAGCGATGGAGAAAAACCGTAAGAGAGTCTTAACTCTAGCAAACAAACGGGAGGGTTGCTGGAGGGGTGGTGGGTGGGGGGATGGAGTAATTCGGTGATGGGCACTAAGGAGGGCATGTGATGTGATGAGCACTGGGTGTTATATGAAACTGACAAACTACTGAACACGACATCTGAATCTAATGATGTACTGTAAGTTGGCTAATTGAATTTACATTAAAAAAAGTAATAAATAAACCAAATGGAGTTGGTCTTCTGTTACACCCTGGAATGTCCTAAGTGGTATTCTGAGCGCATCAGTTCATTTCCATTTGCTTGATGAGTAAGCTGAAAGGGGTAGGGGGTGTGGGGGGGAGGGGAGGGGGTGTGTGTGTGGGGGGGTGTGCACGCTCGTGTGTGTGTGTGTATGTGTATGTGATGTCACCCAGCTGGGTTCTGAGCTCCCAGAAGCAGACAGATAATATATCTTCTCTTCATATCCACTGACAAGGCTTACCGCTGCCTGGACTACAGTAGGTGCTAATCCTGTACAAACACGCCCCCCGCCATCTCCCACGTCCATATTCCCACATCCACAGACACCCATAAGGAAGCACATACCTACTGCTGCTCAAGGCAGCAGCTCAACACAGAAACACACCAAGTACTCACTAAGACACACAACTTGCTACAGCCCAGACTGTCAAGGAAAACTGACCCACAGAGTTTTACAAGGCTGAACAGGCTGCGTTGTCTAAAACAGTGCTTTTCAAACAGTGGATTGTGACCCATCCGTGTCATAAAATCAGTGTAATAGTTTGCAAATCCCCGTCTTAGAAAATGCAGTCAGCTAGAGTAAACTAGAAAAAATCAGTATGCGTTACATACTGTACGAGTTAAAGACTGTTTCTGTGAAGTTGTTGAAGTGTGTGTTTGGGGTATAAGTGCCATGAAAAATCTGTTCTCTACACCAACAAAAAAAATAGACCCTTAAACACCGAGAGCAAACTGATGGTTGCCAGACGGAAAGGGGGGGGGCGAAATTGGTCAAAGGAATTCAGAGTTACAAGCTTCCACTTATATAAATAACTCACAAAGATGAAAAGTACAACATCCGGAATATAGTCCAAGAATATTGTCATAACAACTGTACCGTGACAGATGGTGACTATACTTAATCGTGGTGAGTGCTGAGTAATGAGCAAACTTGTCGAATCACGATGCTGCACACCTGAAACTGACATAACATTGTACAGATCAACGAAACTTCCATAATGAAAAGAGAAAAAACTGTGTTCTCACTGTGGGTGGTTGGATGAGCACTGTCCTCACAGCCTTCATCTGGTGCCATCCAGTGGTAAAAGCCCTATCTGCAGTCGAGAAAGAACCACAGACCCGGGAGAAGAGTCCGCAAACATGGATGTCTGGTTGGAAGGGGCCTTCCAAATGACCTGGTCGACCCTGACATGCAGGGCAAGCACCCTTCAACAACACCGAGCTACTGCCTGAGCACGCCCCACCACGGAGGCACTCGCTCCCCCGCTGAGCAGCTCTACCTGCTGAAAAGCTGACCAAGCCGCCTTCCTCTAGGAGCTCCTCCCTGTCCTTCCTACTGCCCTCTCCTGGATGACAAGGAGCAGCTTCTGTGCTCGCCCTCAGTTTAACACTCTTGATCCAGTCAAGCAATACTTGTTGAGTGTCTGCTAAGTGCCAGGCACTGGGGATACAGTGGGGAACCCGGGAAGACACAGCGACAGAGACACAGAGAAGTCAGAGCTTATGCCAGATGAAGGACAACAGCATGGGGGCAGGAAGCGCCTCGGAATGTTCCAGTAGCAGAAGGTATACAGGGAGGTTGAAGAACAGCAGAGAAACAGGTGAAAGCTCAGAGATTTCTGGGCTGTATGTGTTTTCATTTCTCTCTGTTTTATAATTTTTCTAAACTAACCATAGGCCATATTTCATTCTAAGACACCATCAATTGTAAGACTGAAAAAAGAAAAAAGAAACACTGCCAGTTAGTCCATGTCTTTCTTATTGCTTACAATTCTCATTTCATGTTTATGAAAAAGCCCTTTTAGACTTTTGGGACAGAACAAAAGGGAAAGGATGAGTGACATGAGTTGGTCAAGTCTTCCCTTTCAGGAGATCTGTGAGTTGCCACACAACACTGACCTTCGAGCCGCCAAGGGCACTGGCGAGGCTGAGTTTCTGAAGAGATCGCCATCACCGGCTCTGAGATTGCTTTCCAAGCTCCCGACCCTCCAGGTGTAGGCTGTGTTCCTCTGTCTTTCTTGATCTCGTCAGAAGGTCTCAACGGATGGTTCTGGAATAGCAATCGGGATTTGCGCTCCTTCTTCAAATGGCCCTTAAATGGTACGTGGACCGAAGCAGCCAGGGGCTGCAGGTGCAGCGGTCCAGCCACGCCACGAGGAAGACCGAGCACGTCCACGTGCACAGATAATGACAACTCCAACATGGTGCACAGTGACTGCAGGACACATCAAGAGTGAATCTGGGCGCCTGGGTGGCGCAGTCTGTTGGGCAACCGAGTCCTGGCTGAGGCTCAGGTTGTGATCTCAGAGTCTTGACATGGAGCCCCACGTCTGGCTCCGCACTGGGCGTGCAGCCTGCTTGGGATCTTTCTCTCTCCCCTCCCCTCCCCTCCCTACCACCGTTCACATGTGTTCTCGCTCTCAAAAAGTTAAACAAATAAATAGATAAAATAAAACCCAAAGAATGAAAGATCTCTTTATTTATTTTTTCTTTATTGTGCTATGCTGGTCACCATACAGTACATCGGTTAGTTTTTCATGTAGTTGTTCCATGATTCATTGTTTGCGTATAACACCCAGGGCTCCATGCAATACGTGCCCTCCTTAATACCCATCACCGGGCTAACGCATCGCCCCACATCCCTCCCCTCTAACACCCTCTGTTTGCTTCTCAGAGTCCATAGTCTCTCATGGTTAGTCTCCCCCTCCGATCTCGCCCCCTTCATTTTTCCCTTCCTTCTCCTAAAGTCGTCCACGCAATTCCTTATGTTCCACAAGTAAGTAAAACCATATGATAAGTGACTTTCTCTGCTTGACTTAAGATGTCATATTTAGGGGCGCCTGGGTGGCTTAGTCGTTAAGTGTCTGCCTTCGACTCAGGTCATGATCCCAGGGTCCTGGGATCGAGGCCCGCGTCGGGCTCCCCGCTCAGCGGGAAGCCTGCTTCTCCCTCTCCCACTCCCCCTGCTTGTGTTCCCGCTCTCACTGTCTCTGTCAAAATAAAGAAATAAAATCTTTAAAGAAGGAAAAAAAAGATCCCATATTTAGAAAGACCTTTTCTCAGGGTTTATTCAATCCAGTGTTCCCTGCAATTTTCACTTCTTTTTAGTACCCAGGTCTGACGTGCTACCTAATATTTTCTTCTAACACACCCTGTAATAAATACCTATTAAAATGTAAAACTTCTATCTGGGTGCCACCTCAAGTCATCTCCCATTCCTCCCGTGGGAAACACTGATCTGCTGCAGCCACCAGTTCATTCAAGAAGCACTGACTGACTTGGCCCCTTCGGCAGGAGCGTCCCCTGCAACGGTGGGAACTTGCTAGGAAAGGTGTGACATGCCCTCCACCGGATATTTCTCCATCAGAGGGAATGGGAAGGGGCCCTCCCCGCTCTTCCAGCCAGTGAGGGTCCAGGCTGGGGCTGCTTCATTTCACTTCTCATCAACACTCATGAGTGCTGGCTACAATGCCAGGCATTATTCCACACGCTGGACAAACAGGAACACGTACAGCCCTCAGAAGCACCCTCTGTGGAAGGCACCGCTTACAGACAGAGGTCGAGGTTGTTTCCTCAAGCTGTGCAACCTCGGAGGAAACTTAATTCCATTGCTTTGCAAACCTACTTACCCACTTGGACTTCCATCCCTCCCCCAACACTTCAGTTGCTGATATGGTGTCGGTGTGTATGTGTGTCTGCTTCTGTAGGGATACACAGTGCATGTAGATAGATAGATAGATAGATAGATAGATAGATAGATAGATAGATAGATAGATAGATAGATAGATATGCGGTGCCCTGTATGTACATATATATGTACCTACAATGTATATATCTGCAATTGCAAGACTCAATCCAATACTCTCAGCATCGGTTTTCAAGTTGGGAATTTTAACTGCATGCTGCATACGGGCCTTGAAGATATGCTCTACCTCTCATTTTTAATTTTATTGTTGTTCTTTTACGTCCTCTAGTCTCAGTTTTGGGTTCCTATTTCCTGTTGCGTTTATTCTTGCTTATAAATGGAAGGCAGGAAGCAAAGTCTTACGCGCAACAGACTTTGTACCTACACAGACTTTGAGTTTGTTTCCCTTCTTGTGAGCGCTGTTGCTTTCCTCAGCAGATCCGCAAGGCCTTAAGTGTTTAATCACCTAAGAAAAACAAAACAAAAACAAAAGACAAAAAAACACGAAAAACAGGGGTGCCTAGGCGGCTCAGGCGTTTAAGTGTCTGACGCTTGATTCGGCTCAGGTCATGACCTCAGGTTCCTGAGATCGAACCCCGTGTTCAGGCTCCACGCTCAGTGCAGATTCTGCTTGTCCCTCTCCCCCTGCCCCCCTCCACTCTGTCTCGCTCTCTCAAATAAATAAATAAATAAATAAATAAATAAATAAATAAATAAATAAATAAAATCTTAAAACAAAAAAACAAAAAACAACACTGGGCCTCAATTGACTAAGACTCACAGGCTATCATTTCCTCCCAAAGGAAGCTACTGCTATTGCTTTCTGGCTTCATCGAATTGCCAGTTACTTCACAAGGATCAATAGGATCTAAAATCTACTGTCTCTACTGCAAGGAGTCCCTGAACACTGGGCAAGACATGAACGGAAAAGGAACCAACATTGACCAGAGGGTGAATAAGGAGGAGAAGCCAATCAGAAATTTCCCACGGTACAATGTCTCATATCTGACTTAAACAAAAAAGAAAAAAGAAAAAAACAGTTAATAAAGAATACACTAATAAGATACCATGGATCTGAATAATGCTAAAGTACTTTTGGAAAAAATAAAACATTTAAGAACACGTATTCTGAATATTTTCTCCCAGTCTGTCTTGCCTCTTCGTTCTCTTAGTGTATCTATTTTTCCTTTCTAATTAGAACTTTTTGTGTTCTGCATACAAAACATTTGTCTACCTCAAGGTTGTCAAGACATTTTCCCATGTTTTCATACAAAAGTTTTACGGTTCTAGCTTTTTCCTTTTTTAAGATTTATTTATTTGAGAGAGAGCGCGCCCAGGGGGGAGCAGGAGAGGGAAAGAATCTCAAGCTGACTCCTCGCTTAGCGTGGAGCCTGACACAGGGTTCACACGGAGCTCAATCTCATGACCCCGAGATCATGACCTCAGCCAAAATCAAGAGTCGGACTCAAGCGACTGAGCCACCCAGGCGCCGCTGGTTCTCGCTTTCATATTTAGGCTTATGATTCATCCCAAATTAATGTGTGTATGTCAGAATGAGGGAGGGGTCAAGGTCCGTTTTCTTTCCGCCTGAATGTCCAGGTCACACAGAATTATTCATTAAAAAGACTTCCCTTTCCACCACTGAACTGACTGGACACTCTGGGCAAAAATCAGTCGACAGTACTTGCGTTTGGTCTATTTTTTGGACTCTCTGCTCTGCTCATTGATCTCTCTTTGTGTCAAAGACTTGGATTACTGTGGCTTTGCTCTAAGTCTTAAAATTAAGCAAGAAGAAGCAGTGTAAGTTCATCAACTGTGTTCTTCTTTTGAAGACTTTTTTGGCTATTCCAGACCCTTTGCATTTCCATATACATTTTAGAATCAACTTGTTCATTTCTTCTAAAAAACATGGCTAGGATTTAACTGGGATTGCACTGTTTGCATGAATCAAGGCGTGGAGAACAGAAATCTCCAGGACATCAAATCTTCCCCGATGTATGAACAAAACAGAGCTCCCATTTATTTCAGTCTTCTTGAATTCCTCTCAACAAAGTTTTTTACTTTTCTGTGTAAAGGTGTTTCATGTCTTTCATGAGACTTATTCCCAGCCAGTTTGGGGTTGTTTTGGTTGTTGTTTTTGTTGTGTAAGTAGGCTCCACACCCAGCATGGAGCCCAGTGCAGGGCTTGAACTCACAACCCTGAGTTTAAGACCTGAGCTGAGATCAAAACACAGATGATTCATCAACTGGGCCAGCCAGTCACCCCAACCAGTTTACGTGCTTTGATGCTACTCTAAGTATTTAAAATTTTTATTTTCCTATACATGTATTTTTAAAATACATCTGTATGACAAAGAATTCCTATTCAGAATATATAATAAACTCCAATAAGTCAAAACCAAAAACAACATTAACAACAAAAACGGGCAGAAGACTTGAACGTTCGACAGGTCACAAAAGATGTCGGAATGCCCAAGAAACACACGAAAAGGTGCCTAAGATCATGCTTCACCAGGGAAATGCAATGTGAAACCATAATGAGATGCTATTTCACCCTCACTGACAACACAGAATGTTCACGAGGATGCTGAGCAACTGGAGTGTTACTGTATTGCTGGTGGGAAGTGTAAACTGATAAACCACTTTGGAAATTAGTCTAGCAGTTCAATATATCCCTTCGCTGTGACTAAGCAATTCCACTAAGCAATTTCAAGAGAAATTTAAGACTGCTCTAAGAATGTTTATTGTAGCCTATTCACAATGACCAAAAAATTGGATACAACAACATGCCTGATCATCAGATGAACAGATGAAAAAATTGTGGTATATGCACACTACATACAAAGGACCACACCATTTTACACTCACAAAGACTCTCTCCTTAAGCAAACGCTAGCCTGACTCCTCTGAGCCCTCTTCTCAAAGGGGCCTCAACCTTGGCTTATCATATGCAGACTCGCCCAAACACTAACATACTTCCTAACAACAGCTCAAGACCCCACCCCTAGGGTGACTCCAGTCACCCTTAGTCCCTACTGAGAAAACTCAAGGCATCCATGGTTTGTTCAGCCAACAATGAAAAGTCTGGCCTCTGTCTCCCAGTGAGTAAATCCAGGGGGTTTCACGTTTCCCACTTTTTGTAATCTTTTACTTCTCTGATTTAATTCACCTCTGGCATGACTCCCTCATCCTCTCTTTATAATGCCCTCGGTGGGGTGCCTGGGTGGCTCAGTTGTTCAGCCTCCGCCTTTGGCTCACGTCACGATCCCAGGGTCCTGGGATTGAGCCCCACATCGGGCTCCCTGCAGAGCAGGGAGCCTGCTTCTCCCTCCTCCCACTCCCCCTGCTTGTGTTCCCTCTCTAGC